ATATATGCTAATACATGTGCAAGAGTGCTTGTCGTGTGCATGAAGTAAAAAATAGTTTTTTTTTAAATGCGTCAACGTTTTAATACCCTACACAAAAATAAGTATGGCAAAATTTAAAATGATACAAGAACGTGGCAAGTTCTTCCATTATTTGACTATACGTTCTCAAAAGATAAAGGGTGCATTGAGAGTAAGCTAAAAATATTACGTAAAGTGTCCCGTTAAGAGAAGGCGAAAGAGCGCCATCTTGCTCGATCGCTATAGGCTTCTGACTTTCATACTCAAATACGAAGTTCAGATTTGATGAGTTGTGTTGAAAAAGTTTTTTTTTCTAGATGTTTCATCAAGTTTGTATTTCTCACCAGTTTCAGCGCCTTTTCAATGTCATTCTCATTGTATTCCGGCCTCTTTAGTATAAATTTATGTAAATGCTTGCCCGCATATTGGGCGACTGTTGCCCCACCATGTCCATCGTAAACAGCAAAAAATGCTGCCTTTGGATCGTCTGGCAGGGCCAATATATGTGTATGGGAATCTTCCATGTTGATGCGCCATCCCTGCATGCAGCTGCTGCCTACGCGATATTTTTTATTCTGGCAGTAGGATGATTCCTTGGCGGTCACCGGTTCAGACAAAGTTTGGCCCATCTTCTCGACTTGATTGTGGCTGCTTATCAATTTACGTTTATTATCTGTGTCAGCAAATTAAACAGAGTATATAATAAGTAGATAAACAGGGAGATTAGCATATCAAATTTAATGATATGACCCGCATAAGACCGCAGCAAACAAACGTAAAGATTACAGAAGCATCTATATACATATATTTATATATATACTATATATATGTATAAAAATATATAATATATCGATATCGATATTTGGTAACACTTATGTGTCATTTGTTTGGAGTTCATGCGGGCAAAGGGCACCCGCACAAAGCCAGCAGATAAAACTGATAAAACGCTGATAACAGAACAACGTCCAAGTCGTCTCTGACAGCGAGCTGTATTAATAAATGTGTGGCAATGCATGAAAGCACTTGTCTTCCGTATCTAGTTTACACTTGGCGATAATTTTAATATAGACAGTGAAGAGTTTAGAACAATGTCTGAGTATCACTATGAATATAGCAAAAAAAAAGTGGTTGTTAAGCTCACCTGGCAAAACATTAACAACTTTAGCTGGCCTTTTAAGTTGTGCAAATACATTAATGTGGCAACCGCTTGAGCGGTCTTGTTCAACTCCTTTGGTCTGCTAAATGCGTTGGCGGCACGTGTTCTACGTTCGTTGCAGTTGCAATTTTTGCTTAAATTATTGCTTTAACCAAATGTTTCAACAATTGCGAATTGTTATCGTTCTTGTTCTCATTCTCGATAAATGCGAAAATGCAACATGCCGTCGGTCAAATATCGTATTCAATATCGATAGTATTTTTTCACTGTTTTTGATTGCGAATCGCTGTTTTCCAAAATGAAATACGCAACTTTTAAAATGCAAATTTTTGTGTAATTTAAAATGTAACTAAAATCAATTTGTGTAATGCCAAACAAATCACATTAAATGCTATATTTGTAGGCGATGCTAGGCAGGCGTGCGTATCATAGCATTCAGCTTTCAAGCGCTCAACTTTCAAAGGCTAGCGGCTATAATTTGTTTCAAATGAATTTCAATTTAAATTTGTATTCAAACGAGAAATAATGTTTTAGTTTAATTAACGCTTGTAATAACATATCATCTGCCTAATTGTTGTTTATTTATTTGTTACTTAATGCTTAAAGTTCATACAGTTGAATTATTGCCTTGTACAGATTCTACTAAGCTCAGTCGCTTTCACTCTCTCAATGCTCTTATCTCAGCTTAGCTTTGATTTGTTTTTTTTTTTTGTGTTTTTGGTCTGCCAAGTGCATTGAATTTTGCGAATTCTGTTTTGCGGCAAACGAATTCAAGGACAAATGACGTCAGCTAAACAATTTCGTGCTTGCTGTTGGTCAGGGGCGCTCATTTCGATTTGACGAGGGATCTATAGAGTAACTACACAGCTCGCTGTACCCGCCTCTGTTTTTTCATACTAAGCTTGTTTGTTTTGTTTTCTTTTTCTTTTTTATTTTTGATTTCTTGTTAAAAAATGAAGCAAGACAAAAACCATATTAAATATTTGGACAGCAGCGGAGACAGCGAGCAGCGAGTGTATTCCTGATAAAGAACTGTACCGTCCGCTTTCTCTCTTACTGTTTCTCTTTTTGAGCTTCAATTGAATAGCGTTTTATCGTCGTCAGCAGCATTGAATGCGTTACAATAGTCAATGAAATTTGTTTGCTTGTTTGTTTTTTTCGCATATTTTTTTAAAGTGGGCGTGACTGACTATTCTTAGTGCGGGCACTATCGCACAGGAATGCAATGGTCTGCCAATCTTACCCGGGCTCTTTTTTGTCAGCGCCAAGCAGTGGCCTCCACAGTTCCGCTCGCTCCCTCTCCTAACTCTATTTCACCACTGTTCTTATCGCCTCTCACTGCATTTTATTATATTTTTCTTTTTGTTTTAGCTCATTGAAAGTGCAACCGAGTCGCAGCACGCATGATATTTTCGCAAACCTCTTAAAACGCGCATTTATTATGCATTTAACGTTGTTGTCGACTGCAATCTCCCCACCCTTTTTTGCGATGCATTCGCTAGCCATCAGCCATCAGCCATCATTTGCCATTTGCCATTCCCCCTCTCTAAATTTCCATATTGTTTGTCAACGGTCACATCGCATCCAGATCCCGAATCCGATTCCGATTGCTATCCCAAGCTCAAGCGGCGACATTATCGCTGCCACTTTCCGACCAACTCTTGTATGCAGTCTGCATGCAAATGCTGTCAAAGTAGGAAGAGTGGAGAGAAAGAGAGAGAGAGTAGTAGCGAGAGCGGGAGCGTAGTTGCAGTACACATACATACACACACACTCACGCAGATATCGCAGCAGTTCAATCACATTGCACAAAAGTTCGAGGTCAGTTATAAAAATAAAGTTCTACACACATACACGCATGCATGCGTCTATGCATGAGTATGTGTATGTGTGTCCCGTCAGCTCTCATTCGAATTTGTTTTGTATTAATTTTTGCATGCGACAAAATGAGTTTCTTTGTCTTTGGCCTGTCTACAGGATCGAAAAGCTTCGAGATGGGGTTGCTCGCTGGCTGGCTAGCCTTTGTTTCATTAATTCCATTAATTCCCATTCAAGTGGAAGTAGGCCACTGGAGTTCTCCTTCTGTGTAACTCGAGCGGCGAATTCGAGATGCCGCCCTAACCCCCTCCCACTACTCTTTTGCAATTGTGTAATGCGAGACGGGGGCAATGACTCGAGCCTCAAGGATAATGGAAAGTTAAGCTGCGCAGTCACCATCGCAGTCGCCGTCGTAGTCGCAGTCGCAGTCGATCCACCTCCAGACAGAAGGAGCAGCAGACCAGACCAGACCAGACCGGAATGCTGTTGAACTCATTTTTTTGTTGTGTTTTCGAAATGAAATTTCGTTCATTTCCAGAGAATTCATGCCACAGATTTGGTTCTGGTTCCAAAAGCCAAAGCCAAACTAGTTGGACGACTCGACTCCAGTCGAGTTCAAGGATCCGCGACGTTGGCTGCTGGTTCATTAACTTGTTTGCTTGCTTCATTTTTTATTTTATTTTTTTTTTTTGGATGCCGCCAGCATCCGCGGCGAGACAATAATGATCTTCGCTGGAAATGCGCGCACCCCTCCACTTGCTGTTGTTGTAGTTGTTGCTTGCTGTGTGGCTGCTGTTGGTGCTGTTGCTGATGGTGACTTAATTGCCGCACCCTGAGTGCCTGGTCAAGAAGATTAACAAAGGAACATCATGCCAGCCAAATTCAATATATGAAATATATTATATGTGATGTGTTAAATGGTTCAAGATTCACTCGACAGTCACAGTTATCGATTTGCCTACTTGTATACCCTGTACATCTATAGTTAATGGTAAGATGTGCTCTAAATTCAACATAGAGGGTTATGCTATTGGTCATAAGTTATGCTTATTGGCATGTCCTGAATAAATAACTTAACTAATCGATAATTATCGATGACAATTATTTTTTATGTGTAAGCATTGATCTGACAGAAAGCTGCTCCTAATATTTATAGACTAGCTTTCGTTTCATTCATCTGTTTGTATGCTATATTAAACTAATCGATATATATCGATTTTAAGCAAACATTCTTTTGTTGAAAAAGATGAATTAGGTTAAAGAATAACTGAATAAAGGGTAATAACGTCCTAATTACATAGTCTCACTAATCGATAAATATCGATTGCAACTATTCTAGACTAAAGTAAATATATTATGTGTTCCAAAGGCCACGTTATTCTGTCTACTTAGAGTCATAACTAAATAACTCAAAAGCTTAGCTAATTAATAACTACCGTTTTGCGAAACAGTTATTTCAAAACATATAGAAGGAATTGGAAAGAAATGTTTCTAAAAGCTACTCTTCAAGAATATATATTCTTTTGACGCACAGTTTTTCAGCCACTGTTCCTTCAGCCTAACAAATTATAGTATAATATTACTTTCAGATCATTTTTCCCCATTTATATTTCTTAGCTCTTATAGCTTCAGATTACCTTTTAAACGTGTACGTTCAAGCACAACGCACTATGGCTTGGTTTTATGAATTGAGCCAGATTAATATAGTTTGCTTATAGGGCAGCAACCTGGCACAAGGCGAAGTCGCTGTCGCTGTCGTTGTCGTTGTCGCTAGTGATTCACTTGTAAAGTGACTAATAATCGAGGCCTTGCGAAAAAAGAAAACATCGGGTGACTAAGATTTGGATATGAACTAAAGGAAGTCAAGGCAAAAACATATACAAAACAGAAATTTAAAAGATGTGGAAGCAACAAAATATAAGCAATGGATCATAGAGTGGAGTTTGGAAAAACATAAAAAAAATAGAAAGATTCAAATTTGGTTATGGAAGAGCAAAAAATGCAGAGAGAGTGTGCAAAGACATATAATCTATATATGTAGAGGATTACAGAACCATAGTATTCCATACTATTCCACGCTGCATATGCAATCGAAATGATAAACGTTTAAAGTTGGATATAGTGAGAACATAATCTATATCTCAATCGTCATCGTCTGAAAATAATTGTGATTCCAAGCAATTGGTCAGGCATTCGTAGCGAGTGGTGCGACCCAAAATCGAGCGAACATCTTTAGTGAATCGTAGTGCGTCCAGAAAGGGCAGCATGCAGAGCAGTTCATTGTCCTGTGAACCAATACGAAAGCTCTTAATGTTCACTGTATTGCCAACATTGAAGCTGTTCTCCATGGGACAATCATCCAGGAGCAGTACACTGGCCAGATCCTTGCGAGCCAGCGACACGAACTTCGCGCGAATGCCGCAAATCTCGATGCAATCCTGTCGAAACATGCGGTGATCCAATATGTTTCGACCAGCATCCAAGAAGTCCAACACACGCGATGCGTAAATCTCCGAGGCAGCGGTGAAGACCACCAGATTGTACCACTTCGAAACCCGATCCAAAAACAGATCAACATACGGCCGCTTATAGACGTAGACGTTGGCATCGGAAATGGGTATATCGAAGGTGTAATCATATGGCACCGACTGTACGAGCACGGACTTTGCCTTGTATCGGCGATTGTGTTCGGAACCTGTGTCCGACGTTTCTTTCACCCGGTAGAGTATTACAGATGAGATCAGTGTTTCGTCCATGTCTAAAATTAACGTCTTGCGGCGCACCATGCGCAAACGCTTTTTCGATATTTCAGTTAGCCTATCATCCTCCATATATGTTATGGGCGTATAGTTCATTGATTTCGTACGAATTTTCACATATTGAGTGCGAAACTTCTCACGTAACATGGGAACCGCTAATACGATTCCCGTTACAATAATCCCCACAGTGCCCAAAAAATAGAAACTGTTGAATAAAGGCAAGAATGAGGTGCAAATTTGATAGAACTCGCTAAGCTACTCACTTCGTGACTAAGAAATTGCTTTGGCTTTCCATTTCATAATACTTTATATTTACATACAATTCTATATAATCGATTGATAAAATCTTGACTTATATTTCACAGTCAGCTTAATGGTTTTATTCTTTTCTATGCTTCCGCTCTCTTCTATACTTCAGAGCCAAATGCAACTTTCTCTCTAGAGTTCGATGTGCATACCCGATCGAGTAATTGAAACTTCTCATTTATGTACAGTTACTTAATACACACTGTCGTCTAGTATTTGAATCTGTCTGAGGTATCGACATCGAAAGTAATGTTAAGTCTGGAGCTCGAATGAATCAGGGTAAATCAATCAAATCCAGAATTATAATGAAATGAGCTTCGATATCGGAGTAGCTTGCCTGACTCTCAATGCCGTCTGCGTTGTCGTCGTCGGGTGCGGGTGCGGGCGTGGGCGGGAGCATTGACAATGATACAGTCATTAAACTGATCGTGAGTGACTGAATAGCAGATGCCCTGTGCTTTAGTTTGAGCTATAAAGTAATATCATTATACATTATACATATTCATTATATTATAAGATATATTCCTTGTGTTGTGTATTCAATATATGGTTATCGATCTTTTTAGAAAAATACGATATTTATCGATATTTGTAACTATATTTGAAACTAATCTAGTTAAGATTTAAGAATGTATATCTTTACTCTAATCTATTCTCTTCCTCTCTCTCTCTCTCTGTCTCTCTTTTTTTTAGTCGACAAGCGGAGTCAAACAGTAGATGAACGCAACTAATATACCCATTAATGCGTACAGGGTAGCCATTGAACGCACACATTCGCCAAGGCGAAAAATGAAACGCCAGCCATGAAAATGCAGCGCCAGCTACAATATGTACGTTCCCATTGCCATTCCCGTTCCAAGTTCCATATTCCACGTCCCACGCTGCCCGCTCCATGCCATGTACCCAGTGCTTGCTATATGACGCACTGGCAGTAGAGTGGGTGGAGGTGGCAGTGGCAGTGGTGAAGGAGGTTGTGGTGGAGGCAGCAGCAGACCTGATGCGAATGGTGGCGGAGACGCTGACGGAAGTCGCCGACTGACGATCGAGGCGACGTTTGCAGTGTAAAATATTGCGCTGGCCTTGGAGCGGCACGCACGAAGCTGAAGCGGCTGCCTGTCAAGACGATTAACAACGACAACAGCAGCAGCCGCAGCAGCAGCCGCAGCAGCAGCCGCAGCAGCAGCAACAACTGCAGCAATAACTGCAACTGTGTCCCTGGTTTGTGTCGTCCGGCAGGAGCTAAAATTAATGCACCATATTGTGCGCATCTGTTCAGATACACACACACACACATGTAAGCATACAGACATGCACGCATGCACACGCATACATATTCATACATATACATGTATGTATATATCTACACATGTATGGCGACTGTTGCAAATTTGCTGTGGCGTCTGCTGCTTGTCAACTTCAACCGCAATTGCAACCACAGAGCTCTGGCATCCTTTTCGCAGCAACTGTTTTTAACACCCGCATCTGGACACATGTTGCTGCCGCGTGCGACTTGCCACAGTTGCAGCATGCAACACGCCCAAACCGGAAAGCCAGCCAAATTCCTCAAAGTTGTGTCATCTTGCCAGCCGCATGAATTTCAATGCTTAAGCAGCTTAGGATAACAACAAATAAATAATTTAACGAAGAACAGAACGTAGACATAGATTACAAAGACGTTAGGCTAGAGAGAAAAACGTACAACTTAACGAAGTGTTTGCGTCAAAGAAGTACTGAATGCATAAGCAGCTTAAAATAATAACGAAGCTTAGGTGAGAGAGGAACCATGAACTTAACGAAAGCCGGAACGTAGACTTAGATCGCAACAACATTAGGTTACAGAGTCAAGCGCAAAATATGTATGCTAACGAAAATATGTAGATTGAGCTTTCAAAGTAAGGTTAAAGTTGAGATTAACAAAGACTATGTAGAACAATGGAAAAAGTGAATAGAGCTTTCAGTCAAGAAGCTTTCACTGCACATAAGATAGAGTTTAATAAGATCTACGATAAGAATAATATACTAAAATATCTTAGTTTAATCTGGGAATGCTCTTAATTTTGTCAAAATGTCAAAGGCAAATGTCAAACATAGCTATTTGGACTCATAAAATTACGTATACGTGTTGTTAGCCTGAACCTGTTACAGCAATTATTTGTTAAGCTAAAATTAAACAATAAATTGTTGTTGTTATTGTTGTGGTGATTGTGAATGCAAAATAAATTGCGCATAAAGTTTAATCACTTTGACTTCACACACACATAGAGAGAAAGAATGAACGAGCGAGCGAAAAGAGGAGGCAGCTATCGAGCAACGACAACGCCAAAAAATAAAAACGCATAACAAAAGATTCTACACACACACACTCACGATTGCACATGTATGTGGGCAGCGGGCAGTGCAAAAAAAAGCAAAAAAAACCGGCAACAACAGTCAGAGACGGAGTCAATAACCTCCAGTGCATTACTCACTTTTAAAGACCGTGTGTGTCCTTCAACAAAAACTTATCTCCATCTCGCACTCACTTCACTAGCTATCTCGTTCGTCCACTTGCTTATTTGCTTGACTATTTTGCTTTTCTACAATTTATAATTAAACAATTTTGTTGCTGTTTCCTTCCTTCTCCTCCTACTGTACCGTTGCCCTCCTTTGCAACTTGCTTGTGTTACTGTTGTTGTTCTTTGCACAAGTGTGTCTGAGCAGGAGCTCAGCCGCCACTTTGCTCTGCTCATATCGCCCTGTCTCGCTCCTTCCTATCATCATTCAATCCATTGATTTCGCTTCAAAATTTCAGACTTGCCGTCGATTTTTGTAAACTGCTGCGCATTTTGGGCGAGATGAATAAACTTTAGCACGCTTGCGTGACCTGTTGTTCCCTCTCTCTCTCTCTCTCTGTCTTTCTCTCTCAGTTCACTCTTTCTTTTTACTCTTCTCCACTCTGCCGTTGTTCTATCTCCTACCCACGCATACAGGCGCAGCACATCCGTTGCCAAAGTTGTGCCTCTGTGTGTGTGTATGTATGCATTTGTATGGAGAGTAATGTCATTGACTGCAATTTGTTAGCAAAATATTTCAAGTGATAAATAAATTCTACATGGAGCTACACATTTCATGCCAATGAACTCAATGCAAAATTTTCATCCAAAATTGATGTTCGCTGCTTTTTGAACTGCAATTTCGTTTTTTTTTTAGTTGCGGCTTTAGCAATTTGCGCCCCAATTGAAAACGGCAAAAACTGATGGAAAAGTAGACGAACACGAAGACGAAGATGGGAGACTTTGCCAGAGACTCCGCTCTGTCGCGTCGTTTTTCTACACAGGTTGAACGCAACGTAAACAAAGAATTTCTTTTGTTTGTCAATGGATTTTATTATATATACTCTGCACCTTTAAAATAAATAAAAAGCGAGTGTAATAAAGCTATACAAATGTATGTAAAGGCAAAAAATAAGAGTCAAAGTCAAACAAAATTAGTAAATTTTCTTAACAGCTAAACATTTGAAAAAGTTTACGGCATATCTGGCCATCGAGCATGCTCCACATAGAGTATTCATGTTTTAAATTCATATATTATATTTATTTTGAAAGAAGCAAGCGCAAAGTCGTTGTTGAGTTCACTGCATTCGATCTCAAGCAAAAATAAAACATGAACGACAACTGATATATACATACATACACATAATTATATATATATATATATATATATATATATATATATATATATATATATATATATATATATATATATATATATATATATATATATATATATATATATATATATATATATATATATATACGTATACATATATAAATTTGTTTGTATGCAAGCATTTACATATGTGTTCATTGTGTTTAATCGAATGCAGCGCGTGCATAGAGTTCAAGTTGATTTATCAACGTTTTTAACATATGCATTCTTTACAAATAATACAGAATATATGCTCAGCTATATGTAATATCAATAGGCGCTTTAATTAAGGCTTAATAGACATCAAAATAGCATGGACAACAGTTACATTGCCCAGCTTACCGTTAAAGTGCCTGCAAGTGCAATGGAGAGTGACGATGTCATCTGGCGCCTTGCTGGTTGATTATTCTCTCCAATGCCCAAAGCTGGGACTTAAGTTTCATATGCTCATGTTACAGCTAAGTCGGTCAATAACTTGGCGACTGTGCAGGAAAGTTTTTGTTTTTAATTTTTTTGTTTCTTTCTTGATGAACTACAGCTTTTCGCTTAAGTTTCAGATGCTGGTTTATTTAAGAGCTGACCGGTTTAATGAGTCGAACTTAATTTGCGCCCTCAGAAAAAGGCAGCGACAACACCCATGCTAAGCAAAAATAAAAGCAGGAGCAACAAAATATAACCACAGCAAACAATATACACAGAGAGAGAAAGAGAAAAAAGAGAAGAGTAGCAGAAGCGACAACGACACGTCTGGCAACGGGGCCTGCGGCTGGGAGAGTGGGCGACGCAGGCTGCAGAAAGAACAGATATCAATGTTTGTATGTGTGTATGTGAAATCGCCCAAAAAAATCAAGCAAAACAATTGGCCGAAAAAAAGGCGAAGTGAAAAACGGCAAACCGAAATACAAAACAAAATGATGCTCAAGTAACTCATATAAATATGTGTGAGTGTATGCGTGTGTGCAGCAGCAGCAGCAGCGGCGCAGTCGCGACGTCGGCAGAGCCATCGCCATTGCCAATATAAACGACGATCGAAAGATGCAAAATGTTCATTCCGTCGTCGTTTCGTTTCTGTATGTATTTCGCTGGCCAAGAATTCAAATATAAAAAGTCAACAAAATAATAAAATGAAGCATGCGAAAGCAGCGATCGCGCACAGGCACACACAGAGCCATACATTCGCACACATACACAAACACACGCATGCGGAATTCAACTTTTTTCTGCAACGCTGCGTGCGCCGCCATTGAACGTCGACGCCAGTGGAGAGTATAAAAGCTTAAACTCGCTTCGTACTCGAGTTTATTAAAACCAAAACTGTGCGAGTGTCATGATCGTTGAAGTCGAGAGTTGATTACGATTAAAATGTGAGAAATTTAAAAAAATCTTGTGAAATAAGGCGTTGCCCTAATAGAACTAGAGTGAGCTATACAAGCGAAAAACATTTCATTCCAATTCGATTCAGCGCAATAAAGAAACACACACAAAAAAAGAGAAAATAAAAAAAGTACCAAAAAAAGTAGGCACACGCCCATCAGCCGCCACGCGACGCGCAACACAAAAAAAATCGAAAGTGTTCGTGTTCTACTGACATGGATTA